AGTCTTCAGGCAGGTGGGAACTGTCTCCAGGGTAAGTGAGGTGTTAAAGATGTCTGCCAGCACCTCACAGAGCTGATCAGCACATTCTTTCAACACTTTTCCAGGGATGTTGTCTGGGCCAGTTGCTTTGTGCGGATTAATCCTCCTGAAGGTACTCCTTACTTCTGCTGAGGTCACGCTGAGATGCTCTTCATCCGGTGGTGAGGTGAGTCTTTACAGGGCCACATAGAGACAAACGAGACAAACAACCATTCACTCTCTCACTCACACCTAGGGACAATTTAGAATTACCAATCAGCCTAACATGCATGTTTTTGGACTGTGGGACGAAACCGGAGCACCCGGAGAAAACCCACGCATGCACGGAGAGAACATGCAAACTCCACCCAGAAAGGCCCCTGGACCGGGGTTTGAACCAGGGACCTGCTTGCTGAGAGGCAGCAGCTCTACCAGTTGCGCCACCGTGCTGCCCCTGTATGCCATAATCATCAGTATTAAAACAATTAAAGACCTTGAAGTATTTCAGTTGGTGTGCATTGAATCTGAAATATATGAAAGTTTCATTTTTATCATTACATTATGGAAAATAATGACCTTTATCACAATATGCTAATTTTTTGAGAAGGACCTGTATTTTACTACAGAGACTTGAATATGATATTGGGATTACAAGAATGGCTCTAAATTGTTTTAAATCATATTTATCTAATAGATTCCAATTTGTAAATGTTAATAATGAATCCTCTTCATACACTAAATTTGGTCATGGCGTTCCTCAGGGTTCAGTGCTTGGAACAATAAGTTTGACCTTGTTTATACTTCCATTAGGTAAAGTTATTAAACAGCATGGGATAAATTTTCATCGTTATGCTGATGATGCACAATTATATTTGTCCATGAAACCCAATGAATCCAATCAGTTACATAGACTAGAAGCATGTCTTAAAGACATAAAAACCTGGATGACTAAATTTTCTGCTTTTGAACACAGACAAGATTAAGGTTTTGGCTTTTAGACCTGAGCATCTTGGGAATCATTTTTTTAGTCTGTTTAGATGTCCTGATGCATGCTCAATAATCCAGGTAGAAAAATCCAAAAAAGTTCAATCTGGTCCTCTGGACATTCAAAAAAACAAAAGCAAAACAAAGCAAAAGAAATCTAGAAACGTTTCGTCTCTCATCCAAGAGACTTCCTCAGTCTGAGGTGCTGTTTTCAGCTCAGTCTCTTAAATAGCACCTTCTCAGAGTGGATCAATCAGTTTGCTGCTGACAACCAAAACCAGCTGATCACATGCTCAAGAAGGACCATCAGCCTAACAATGGATCATTAGCACACTGATGGCTGTTTACTATTCACAGAGGGCTGAGTGATACTAGCAATCACAGCATTGTAAGAGGGGGACAGTTGAACCCGGAGGCCTCCACCCCTGTTTAATGATGGACGATTTCTTTTCACAAAGATGGCCTCCTTTACTCCTCTCTCCTCTGTTCTGTTTAGATGGCATTAATCGGGCCTCCAGCTCTCATGTTAAAAATCCTGGTTTTATTTTTGATCAGGACATGTCATTTAAACCCCACATTAAAAAGTTCATAAAACTGCTTTCTTCTACCTGCGTAATATCACTAAAATTAGAAACATTTTATCTAAAAGTGAGGCAGAAAAACTGGTTCCTGCTTTTGTCATGTCTAGACTGGACTATTGCAATGGCATATCATCTGGGTGTCCAAATACTTTAAAAAGTCTTCAGTTAATCCAAAATGCCGATTCCATTAAGTCAACCTGTATTTATACAGGCTAGACTCATTGAGCCACGAGGGCTCATTGAAAAGAGGGACCTGTTCCAGAGAGAACAAAGTATAGACAAAGTCTGTTCCAGAGTCTTAACTGGAGTTAGGGTTGGCTTGGGTTTCCTGAGCTTTCCCTTAGTTATGCTGCTATAGGCTTAGACTGCTGGAGGACAAATTGACCTCATTTCCTTAAATGAATAGTTAAAATTAAATAATTTTCATTTGATACCATTTCTATTTTAACATGTGCTTATTGACCTGCCATTGTGTATCTGTTCCTCTCAAACCCAGCCGGTCAAAGCAGATGGCCGTTTGTCCTGAGCCTGGTTCTGCTAAAGGTTTCTTCCTCATGAGGGAGTTTTTCCTTTCCACTGTCGCCTTCGTGCTTGCTCAAGATGAGAGTTCTGTGATGGAGTTAAACTCAAAGCAGTCTGCTCCTCAGATAATGTTAAATTATTATTTATAAATATGAATGTTTCTGTTCAGTGCCACGAGACGACTTCTGTTGTGACTTGGTGCTATATAAACTGAATTGAATTAAACAGATATACAATAACAAATCTGCTGAAATTCTGTTCTGGCTTCCCTTTTTTTTTGTGCATCTCCCCCCCACAGGATTTTCAGCTAGGTTTCACAGTTGGGAAGAGTTATAAAACGAACCAAAACATCTGTCTGCACCAAGAAAAAAAGAAAAAAAACTCCTCACACATCTGTCAAGACTGCGGTGTGATTTATCAAGTAGGTCAGGGACAGAACTGGCAGATAATCTCAGTCCAATCTGTTTCAGGTTTCATCCAGATTCTCAATCTGCCCCAAGAATAGATTAATTTTTTTTATTTATTTTATTCAGATGTAAAAGGAGTCATACTTTGTTTTTTCAGCAAGTTGTCTTTTTAAAGATCATCTTTGGTACAAAAACTTCCCTGAAATGAGTTTAACTGATCAAACAGAAGCAGTAAGGGGGAACCTCAGAGAACCCGATTTAACCGGAGGGCCTGGTAGATGACAGACCTCAGCCATCAGCTCCTTCTGCACCTTCAGCTGCTCATTCAGCTCATCCTGTCGCTCCTCGAAGGAGATGCGGCAGCAGCGCTGGGTGTATTTGATCCGGACCCCCCAGTAGTGGATCTCCTCCAGGAAGTTGTAGGGACACAGCTCGTCTTTAATGAACAACACTCCGGTTCTGTTGGTCCGAACACAATCTTGGTTCATTGCCAGAGTAAAATTAACTCACTGTGTTTTTCACCTGACCTCACCTGTAGAAGTTGAAGATGATGTGGAAGATTTTTGGGTCTCTGTCGAAGAAGAACTCGTCATTTTGAACAACGTAGTCGTCGCAAAGGTCCAGTTTCTTGTTGTGGTCAGTGGACGTGGCCAGCCGACCGATCCGGGTCTTTGGATACCGGGCAGCTAACCTGTAGGGCAGGAAGTACATCTGGAGGAAACAATCGGAGGAAATATTAAACTGGAGAGAAAGAAAAATAAATTAAATGTGGTTGGTTTTGAATAAACTCGATCATCTACCCATAATTTAATCACAGTTAAAAATAAAAACAATGCTCAAACTGGAGCCGTTTAGTTTCCAGTCTAAAACACATTATATAAAATAACTGTCTCATGACAGACCTGTGGAACCCCAGGAGTGCCAACTAATGTACAAAAATGGAAAATTTTGTGGAAACGACTATCAGAAAATTTAAGAAAGATACAATAAAAAAGTATAAATCTACATAAAATGTGTCAATAAGAATAAGTGCTCATCTTGATTAGAAAAAATATACATTTATTGTAACACTAACTTGGGGAGCGTGGTGGTGCAGAGGTTAGAGAAGGTGGGCCTGTGATCGGAAGGTCACAAGTTCATATCCCCAGACAAACACTGAAACGTGGTTGGGAAAGTTGAAACATCCACACCTGCCTCCACCTTCATTTGCCCCACTCTGGGCCTTTGAGCAAGGTCCTTAACCCCCACCATCTGCTCCCCGGGTGCCCTAGATGGCAGCTCTCTGCTCCACACAAGAGGGCTGTGGTGCGTCAGGAAAGGCATCCAGTGTGTGTATATATGTATGTATGTACACAGGTCCTTCTCAAAAAATTAGCATATTGTGATAAAGGTCATTATTTTCCATAATGTAATGATAAAAATGAAACTTTCATACATTTCAGATTCATTGCACACCAACTGAAATATTTCAGGTCTTTAATTGTTTTAATACTGATGATTATGGCATACAGCTCATAAAAACCCAAAATGCCCGTCCCAAAAAATTAGCATATCATGAAAAGTTTCTCTAAACAAGCTATTAACCTAACCATCTGAATCAACGACGTAAC